CCCCCGTATCAAGAAAAGAGAGCGCCAGCGGGGCAACGATCCCAATTATAAACATTTCTCGTGGCTTTTCAGAACTACATTCGTCGAAAGAGGGACCGTGTATAGCCGGTGCATTTCATAGTTCACGCACCCTCGGTACACTCTTCACGTTCTCCCGACGTATACCGCCTCCATATCGCTCTTCGTCCAAAAGTACTTTTCGTTTTCGAGTGCGTCCGAGCACATGCGGGTTGATTTTCTTCTTTCTCCCCCTTTTTTCTCGCTCTCGTTGCGTCACCTTCGGGCGCAGTGTTGCGCCGGGGCTAGGTCAACTGCTGGTACAGCGACGAACCCTATTTGCTCGTTTCTTCACTTCTTCTTTTTTTAAATTAATCCCCTAAATCGAATAAAATTCAATATCTCACCGATCGATTTACCGTGATAATCCCAGCATAATTATTCCTACATTCAATTTCTAGGCAATCACCAGTTTCGCTTAAAAAAGGGGAAAAATTGCAGCTTTTTAATATATAATGAATCAATTTTGTGTTCAATTCCTATTGGTGAAGATTAATTCACAAATATTCGAATTTACGTAGAGCAATTGAATTGAATTATCCGTTCCAAGATTACACCACAACCATAAAAGTGTAAGGGAAATGGATTAATTGGGAAAGGGGATTGGAATAAATTCAATTCTAATCAACGTTCGAACGAAACAACCATTGTTCACTTCAAATCGACTCCTCAATTTCTCAATAATCGAAACAGCTCGAATCCTCTCTGGAACGAAAACCATCCAAGACATGAAGATCCCACAAAAGATCGATCTTACAAAAAAGCAAACTTTCAAACCGTTACAACCACCTCAGTATTCCAATAGAAATCTCTAGCTTCGTGTAACATTCATCTCTCCTAAACAATCTATCCAACTTTCTCGCACTCGTCCGAACTTTCGCCTGTGATACGCACATTTCAGACAATGTTGCGAACGATTTCTAGGGAAGTGGTGGGTCGTTAAACCTGGCCGACACGAGGTTCGCCGCGTAATCGCGGCAGCAAGGAAAGTATTTAGCCGGTTTACGGGCGCGGACAGAGGACGGATAGCAGACAGGAATGAGGAAAACGGGAGAAAAGTGACAGAGGTGGCAGCGTGTACGGGGAGACGGAGAGGAATAGGGTGAGGAGGGGGGACGGTGATAATTTGTTAGCATGCGCGCACCCCAAATGCGCGAAATCCCGTCGAAGTGCGGCTCGTGCGCATTGTTTCCTTGTTTGCCAGGTGTTTCGAGTGCCTCGGCCGAGTGGGGGCCACGCCATTGTTACGAGAAGTCGCGCAACCGCTCGACAAAGCCGGCGATCTAATGCTCTTTTATTGTGCATTGTGCCCCGGTCGAATCAAGGAACGAGGGAACACGGTGCCGCGCGCACGGGGGTTGGAAGGTTCATACCCCCCGGTTCGATGCGACAGGGATGGTGGGGTAGGTGCCTGTGCCACCGCCGCGGAACTCGCAACAAAGGCCACACTGTGGCCCTTCGTCTTCGCGATACAACCCCTTCTCTGTCTCTCTGTTTCTCTCTTTTTTTCTTTTTTTTTTTTTTTACATTGTTTACGATGTCTGAACTTGAACGAATTTGCGGGACGACTTGATACCGAGAGGCGAGTTCGTTATCTAGATAAAAAGATCGGGGATGATGGATAAGGGATGGAGAAGCTGTTGGGTTGTGCACCCAAATGATGTTTTTTGGGGGGAAAGTAATTTGTTTATCTGGTCAACGTAGTAGTCAGTATTAACTGAGGCGTAAAAGCTGGTATGATATCGATTTAGATTCTAGCATTTACGTTGACTGGATAAAAAAATTACTGGCCCAAAGATATGGGAGCTGATGCAAACATAAAGAATTAAAATTTAGATTCTTTATAACAGTTAATCTAATCTTTAGAAGACAGTTATGAAGAACCTTTGTTCTGAATAACTGTTATAAGGAGCCTAAGGTTCAGACTATCTGTTTCAGCTGAAGGTTCTTGCACCAGTTCTATAGCCGTTATTTTATCTATGCATATAAATTCTCCAGCAAAATGCTAGAAAAAATGATAGTCTGTTGGGGGATGATCCGGGGAATGTGACAAATGACTCTTTTATAGTAATGACATAGCGTATTGTAGACATCTGAGTAGAAATCAGTCGGAGACAAATATAGTGGTGAGTCATGCTATATTTACTACAATAAATATAAATAAAAATGGTATTTCCGTAGTCGTTAAATTTCCTTTCAACATCATAAAAAGAAAATCATATGATTCCCGTAAAAAAAAGCTCAAAATAATATCATCCCTTAAGAAAAGAGAAATTTTCTGCAATCTTATCTGTTAAATTATATCCCTCGTTCAAAATCACGAGAAGAAATTGATTGATTTGAATTCAGTTACAAAATCAAATATAAAATGGAAGGAGTAATACTTAGCACGGTCAGGATTGTGGAACCAAAGGCGTTATTCCGATTGTTCAGGTATTGTCCAGACAAACTTGCTTCTGTGATTTTTTTTTCTTCCAAAAGAAGTTTATTCTGTTCCAACGTTTTTAAAGTGAAAATTTATTCGAACCATTTCCCTTTAGTGTATTGCGGCTCTTTGCCTGGATTCGAGGGTAGGAGGGATGGGTTGACAATGTGCACATGGAGTAAATGGTCACGGTCGTAGTAAAAATTACAAGTTCCACGATTACAGCACACACAAATCGCGAATGCATCGCGCTGAAGAGACACCTTATTCGTTAATACAGATACGGAGTATTTATAAACACTGCGTAATTTTCATTACGCTGTCTATGCAATTTTACTGACTGCCTGTGTCTTACGCGGCCGGATCTCATTGTGTTTGAGGATTTTTATTTCCGCTAATCACTTATGATTAAAATTTCAATCGATTTGTTAATTTCAAGTAAGTCTGGTTTAGAACAAACCGAGGCAATTTTAATAAATTATTCTATTGTATTTTGTGTCATCTAGCGTACCGTGGCTACTCTGTGAATGTTTCTGTTTCCGGCCCTTTATCGAGTATCTTTGTACGATTCTCTTCTGTAATTAAATAAAGGTGGGTACATTATTAACAATAGTTCCAGAAAACTTCTGTGACGATCGTAATTAATTTATTATATATCTTGTATTTTCTTTCAGGTTTCCTCCTGCTCCGAGGGATCGAAGTGCTAAATTAAGTTTTTTCCAACAACACCAACCTCAGCGCATAAGTGATTAAACAGAAATTAATCTCTTCACAGTCGGTAATTGTATTTGTATTCAGATTTTATATTATTGTCAGTACAATTCTGACTAAATTTATAGTACAATTTAAAATCGTTATTTAAATAATATTACATAATTCACCTTAAGTACACTCGCCGCGGGATAACAAAGCGCGTGTCTAGAAACAATACAAGCGGACAAATTGAACGCAATATCGTGTCGCTGACGAAAAATAAATAATAATAATATTATACAATTGTATGGCTGCTTCCATTCCTCGCTGGTAAACAGACGCTTTATGGACTAGTTAGAATCGACAATTTCATCTACGCCGTCCTCGATAAGGTATAGATTGACACCAATGAAGGTCGCTTCAGTCAAAAGTGTATAAAAGTCACATTTTGATTCATCAACGTTTCAAATAATGACTATCAAATGAGATCGTTCAGGCATTCTCAATCTGATTCCTTGCGATTGAAAGTACTGTAAATATTCAGGGACAGTTACAAATCTCTCTCTCTCTCTCTCACGTTATTTTAAATTTCCCTGTCGTATTCATCAGCCAGTGAGAATAAAAGATAGAACAGGGACTCAACAATAGAATAAAATTGTAGAAGTTTCATTTTAGATTAATTCCAATCAGTGTACGAAGATTTGGTATTTCCCAAATTACTTGATTGCTTCACCTACCAAATTTCATTTAGAAATAGGAAAAATGACCTATATTCTATTAGATTATTGCAAACCCTGATAAGAATAAATTTTTAAAATATTCTGAAGATAAAAGTCTAGTCTCTGTTTCGAAGTATCCTCGAATTTTTGTATAACCCTTGCAGTACTGTCATCCGCAACGGTCAACAATCGAGCCCGCTTTCGAGTACCCTAAAACACTTCAATATGACTAGCATCGTTGTCTTAAACGAGCAAAGCAAAGATACGGTAACTACGGCCCATGGAATCGTCGGCGACGAATTCGAGAACACAAGAGTTACAAGGCGTAACCAAGCGTCGTATGAACGGGACGCGCATATACAGACCTCCGAATGAATTTCACGCTAACACCGATAACATTATGTACAAATTTATTAAAACAATGACTAGTTTCCGTAATCGTGCCCGTGTCAGACCCGATACACCTCGCGCAACGATTTCGTATCGACATCAACACGAACCTCTTTTCCATCGGACCATCGAATATTATCTCTTAATTGTTTCTTATTTCGTGGTACAGATGCATTTCGTGAGCCGAAAGCTCAATGACCCAACTTTTAGCGAACTTGAACAGAGAATAATTGATAACGATGGTCGCAGATTCAGCTGGACACTGAAGCACCACATTAAACGAGTCAATTTCTAGCGTACAGTTATGCCGTCGATCGCCTTCAATGATCAATTAAATTTGCATTCACCAATTTAGCATAGACATGGATAAATCTCACTCAAAGACTTATTAGAAAAGCTTTCATCGAATAAGCATCAGAACACTATTTCAAACAAAGGATATTAAGGTGCGTATCCTCTTATCGTATCACTGTTATCATCGTATCGTATTGTATCACATTTTTGTACGCAACCATCCAATGCTTGCCTGTCCACATTGATACGCAACGGTGATACGATACAAGGATACGCGACAAACGGATACGCACCTTAAAATGGCTCGACATCAGCGCCACTCGAAACGTAAACACAGAAAATATTGAAATCTACAAATCCTGACCGACAGATGTCGCACTGTCCAGCACCGTGTACGATTCGATCGCTCGTAATGGACCGGATCAATTGAAGAAATCATCGTCGTCGAACGGATCACTCTCCCTGACGAATATATTCACTGACTCGGACTTCCTGATATACTGATCACTCCTGGACTTGTTATTGTTGTTATTGTTATTGTTATTCCCGGCACTGTACTTCCCCTGCCGACTGTGATTCTTCAGGGGCAAAGTGGTGACTCGATGTTCGGGTACATTATCCTCTAGCTCGGACTTAAACGCGAACGCGTCATCGTCGTATCTTAGATCGCCGTTGAAAAAGGAGTCTCGACCACTGTCTTCAGAAACGAAACCATCGGCCACCTGGTGGGTGTCTTTGCTGTCACAAGGCATCTCTTCGGGTGTCGCTTTCAGGTCGGATGGTAGCCTTTGTCGGTCACTGGCGTCACTGGAGGCACTTGCCGTGGGCGTGAGGTCATCTTCGAAGTAGCTAGACCTCTTGCTGTAATCCCTCTGCATCTCTTTTCTGGGCAGATCTTTCGTGTACCTTTTGCTGGAACCGGGACTGGGCGGTGGTTTCTGCTCGTTCACGTCCGAACGGATCCGTGGCTCGACCGTTGCCAAGGTGTCAACTGCAGATGGGTCGACATGCTCTACACTCTGAGCAAAGTCGTCTTCGAAAGGGCTTTGGGTCTTGGCGTGAGGCTGACGCGGTTTATGCCTCGGTATTCTCTTACGATGAAGACTTTCGCTCTTGGTGTCGGGTCCTTCTGACCAGTACGGTCTCTCCGCCCAGCTGTCGTATTCCTGGTCGCTGCCCCAGTAACTTTCACGGCTTCTGGAACGCTGCGACGGTCGTAGGTACGGATCAGAGTCGTTGTCGCTGCACTCGGACCTGGAGGTGCCGAATTTGCTTCGTGACTCGGTGTAGACCATGTCAGCGTTACGACCCTCGTTGGCGCTATTCGGCCTCTTGTGCCAGTGACGTTTTCTACCAGACGGATTGTATCTAGGTGAGTCGTCCCCGGGTCGATCGGAACCATACTCCTCGTCCCAGGTGTCTGGATAGTCGTGGGGTCTTTCTCTGCCCTCACGATAGTAGTAGTAACTCTCCCTCGTTGGGTAATCAAGATCAGGTGGGCCTGTCCTTCTGTTCCAGAATCTGGCGTCCTCTTCCCACCTTCTTCTCTCGCACTGTCTCCTATACCATCTGTCCTCCTCATGATAACCCATACTCTCCTGGCTACCGAATCTATCCTCCTCGTTCCACAACGCCAGCTTCCTCTTCCTTTCCTCGTCGTAGAAAGATTCGTGCGGCCAGTTCCACCGTTGCGGCTGTGTTCGACACTTCCAGTGGGCCTCGTATTGCTCCTCTTCGTCCTTGTACGGCATCTTCCGATGAGGATAACGTCGCGACTCCTCGTCCCATTGACTCTCGTCGTGCCACGACGTGGGATCACGTGGTCTGTGACCGGGATTCTTAACCCAAGCCGTGTCGCGGGTCTTCTTCGCCATTCTGTCTCGGAAACTTCTGTCCCTTTTGTTAGCGGAGGTGGGACCAGATTCTTCGTAGTAAGGTCTTTCACCGAACCCTGGAGCGTTGAATCGCGGGGGATGACCGCACCAGAATCTTCCCTCTGCTCGACATCTTCCGTTGCTTTCTTCACTTTCCTCCTCGTCCTTCCATTCGTTATCGCTGTCGCCAGACTGTCGATAGACCTTGAACGAAGCTTCCTTGTGAAACTCTTTACCGTCAGGTGACCATGGTGAGGTGCTGGTTATAGGAAGAGGACCTTCGCACGATGGCCTGTCGGTTCCAAATAAGCCGCTGTCGAACTTCGCCCAGTTGCCATCGTCCTTTCTATCGTCCCTGTCCTGCTTCAACTCGGTGAAAGGGCAGAAAATGTCGTCTGCGTTCAATGATTTGGTCCCTGTCGCGGCGTGTGTGCCGGTGCTCAGCATTTTTATCTCCTCGAATATGTCCATACCCATTAGTTTCGTGTCATCCTCCTTTTTCGGCTGCTTCTTCGGACTGGAGGACGAGGGTGGCGTGTCGGAGAACAGATTTAACAGTTCCACCTCGGCTATACCCTTCGACTGATTCGAGGATTGTATCACCGGGGATACTCGAGCGGACGTGGACACTTCCTCTTCGGCCGGTTTAGGCAGTGGCTCCGGCTCACCTATGATCTCACGCAATGCAGCATACCTGTCGCTGGATGTTGATACTGACGGCTTCACTTCAGTTTTCTCCACCACCAATTCATTCTCCTCTGTATTACTTTCCGCTGGCTTATCAGCATCTTCGTAAGCCTCGCTGGTCTTCTCAGGTTCCTCTATATCTACTATGGAGTTTCGTCGATCAGAGTCTTCTTCGGTTTCAATGGTAGCCTGTTTGGCCAAGAACTCTGCTACAGTTTCGGTCTCTGTGATCGAAGTTCTGACCTTGTTTTCGGTCTCGATAGACTGGGCTTTCTCGCTTGTCACGCTCGAAGAGGACTCGTTCTCTTCAATTTTTGCATCAGACGGCTCTTCTTTCGCTAAATCCTCGTTGCTCGGCGGAAGTTTAACCGTTAAGTTCACCAGAGAAGTTAATGTCTCTGGTTTGTCCTCATCCTCCTGTTGCGACTCTGTGCCTTCGAACGTTTCCTTCATTGCATCGGATATCTCCTCCTCCAGTGTATCCTTCATTATATCCTCTTCGTTCTTCTGCATCTGCTCCAGCTCTAGCAACTCCCTAAAGACAGCGTATTTGTCATAAGTAGCCTCGTATTTCATATTCAGCTCACTAGTCTTGACAAACGCTTGATTCTCCGCGTAAAGTTTCGAGTGAACAACGTTCGAAACAGGTTGTGTCCTCGTGGTCGTCACTGATTCCTGTTTAACACGATCGACATCTTCGTTGTCGATCGCAGGTGCCTCTTTAGTGGACAGTGTAGCCAGACACTCGGTCAACTGTTGAAGCGTCAGACTTGTCAGCTCTTGAACGGTCATCCCAAGGCTGTTGGCAAGCTCGTGCAGATTAGACGACGTCAACTGACTCAGAGTTATATCCAACGAAGGTTTCGCCTTTTTCGTGGTGGTGGACGTGTTCGTGGAGGTAAAAAACGTAGACAGATTCGTCGTGGGTACCATGGAACTGAAGGAATCCTCAAACGTCGACGTAGTTATCGAACCGATCAGATCCGACCTATTGGACATCTGAACAGGAGGACTGAAGTTATCGTCGAAGTGTCCTTTTATGTCCTTCGACGGACTGTTGCTTCTTTCCTTGGATGTCACAGGCGAAGGGTGTTCTCGTTCTGGGAAGTCATAGTGGAAGTATCCCTCGGTGTGCGGGGGTCTTGGCGGAGGTTTCATTGCACCCCTGGATCCTTGCTTCTTCGGGGGTAATGGAGGTGGATTGATCAGAATATTAGCTATTCCTCGCGGTGGAGGTTCAGGTACAAGTTCCAGTTCCGCGGAGGAACTGGACAGTCGCGAGTTTGCGTCCGAGGAGCAAGACTTCAGTGGAGACGCGGGTGATTCGCTGGTCCCCGAAAAGTCGACCGGGAACGGCTTGTCTATAGACTGTGGCTTACTGTTCGGTAGATCGATATCGAAGTCCTTCTTGCGTACCGTCTTTATAGGACTCGGAAGCTGGACCAATCCGTGCGTGGACTCGGTTGAGTCTTTATCCATCCTGCTGAGCAATGAAGCAGTCCCGGAAGCGGACACAGCTGAAACCGGCGGCGATTTCACCAATGAAGGATCCTCAGGTGGCAGAGAGACCGAGAGCGGCTGATGGTGAGCCTGTTTCGCAACGATTTCCGTCCTTCGGGATGAATCGGTACGCATGAAGACTGGCGGAACCGGCTCGGTCTCGTCGAAACGATCGAAGTTCGCGAAGTTACTGTCGTCGAAGTGATTGTCCTGCGATATCGTGTCGTTCCGTGACTGTTTCGATGTCTCCAGGGCGTCCGCGATAGGACTGAAATTGGCCTGGAATGTGTCTGCCGAACTGGTGGATACGAGGTCCTTCAGTACCTTCTTCGGGGGATTCTTCAAGTGCTGGAAGAAGTCCTTCTTATCCACATATGGTTTTATCAGACCGGTTCCTAGGGGATCTAACTCTGTGAAGACGTCTATTTGGGGACTTTTAGCCTGGGACTGTAACAAATTAAGTATTCGAATTGCAGGATAAGCAGATGGGTATTTCAATTAATGTGTTTTCATTTAATTATATGTAGTTCACTCTCATTAACCGGTGAAATACTGACGAGTAACGAGCATCCGGGGATGGTATGGGTCACGGAGAGCAATAAAGTAAAAATACTTCTAGAGGATGAGCCGCTCTGAAAGCTAAGGAATCCTAAGGTACGGTGTCCTAAATCAGTACATAATAAAGGCGGAAGGATTCATACCCCATACTAAGTGTGTCTCAGGCTACGGAACTTCGTGGTACTACGATATTTACCTCCTCCATGTCCTTTTTGACGGGTGTGCTCTTTGCTGAACTCGTCAGCTCGTTGTCACTGAACAAATTCTCCGTTTCCTTATCGAACCATTGCATCGAGCCTTGGAGCGGTGGTGTCTTGGTCGTCGCTGTCGCCGCTGGACTCGATGTGATCGACGACTGGGACCCAGGAACTGTTTGCTGTCGCTCTAAATGTCCTCTTTTGGAACCTGACGGTGGCGGCGGCAGGATTGGACGCACAGTGTCTTCCAACTGTGATTATCGTTACAAAAATTACATAAAAAAACTTTTGCTGAATATGTGTTAAACTGTACGTACTTTCATGTTGGCGAATGAATCACCGAACGGATCAGCTTCGAAGAGATTATCCGCGGATGGTGCTTGGCTCTCAGGAGTAATTTTGTCCATGTGATGGATTCCCTGCTGAAGAGAGTTTAATTCGAACTGTAGATCCAATAAATCCGCTATCACGCCGCTTTGAGACTCGTTTCGTTTGTCAGATTGTTTCTCCAATTCCGAATTCGTGTTCTTCACTCGATGAAGAGAGGTTTCGCTGCCTGCTGCGCCCTGCTCAAACAAATTTAATAATTCATTTTTATCCTTCGATCAGGTATGTAATATTATTCAAAATATATATATTTTACGAAATCACCTTTGTATCTGGAGTCGGTTCGACGAAGATACCGCTGGTATGGAATTTGATAACGCTTGTGGCACTCTGTGCCAGATGTTGCTTCGTCAGCTCGATTTCTTTCTTTTTCAGTTCGAAAACCACTTGGAACAAGTCTCTCATCGCAATCACCACCTGTGCGTAACATTATGAAACACGTGGAAAATTTGTTAAAAAAAAAAAATCGAAAATCTGAAATCCGATTGTTCGATGTATGTAACATGAAAACCTCTGATAAATTTGACTCTAGTGCAAACGAAATTTGTACTAGCCAAAACATTACTCAGAAGACAGTTCTTAATTTTTTTTTATTTTTGAATATGATTATAGTATTCGACAGAAATTTCATATTTCCGAAAGCGGCGTCGACTGTTGTGTTCCGTGCACTCGAGAAGAATGTTCGAAAACGAAGAGGGAAACCGAGGGAGTCGAGCTTGAAGAAATTGCGATCGCTTTGAACGAGCACGAAGGGAATCGGTGTATAATCGAACAACAATCTCCCGCGGCGTATCGATGAAGTGCCAGGCCGAATCGTATAATGCAATTATTTACATGCCCCTCCGGAATTACTGAGCCACCGAGGTCGATATTGCTCCTCCGGATTGGACAAATATCATTTTAGAGCCCCTTGCGCCGCTAAAGCGAATCGTTCTCGATAAACGACACGCTTGAACTGCATTTACGAATTGCACGAACGGGTCCTACGATCGAATTAAAGCTCAGCAGCTTACGTTCCAGCTGCTCCTCAACGACTTTATTCAAATTACATCGGTGTAATCAATTTGTCAATTTCACATTTGTAATTTTTAATCACTTATGGTTCGAAGTTCACGCGGATCCTTTGAGAAAAACAACGTATTCGTATTCTAGTAATTTAAGTTTGAAGGCTTTTCAAATAATGCATATTGAAATAAAACTTTTAGTATAATTCTATAATTATAATTATTCAATTTATTCAGCGAAATATGGACAATAGATTTCCATCTTTTACTCGTCATTGAAATTTCTGGTCTCCATCGGACATTTATCGATTGTATTTAAGTTTGAATTATTTTTGCGATATATTTGTAACTATTTGGATAAATTCCAGTGTCCACTTTAGCATCGTGTAAATCTTACTTGACTCGCTGCTTTGTCCGTTTTGATGCCAAAAAATCGGTGCCCAGTGTCGGGTGACCCAAAAATATATCCGAACGCCCTCGAGTCGCTCATATCCTGAGCGATAAACGATATCTTATGTACAGGGTGGTGATACAGACAGTCCTGAAAAAAGATATGTACAAACACCGTCATCGTGGTTCGCGATAAACCACATGTAATTATAATACATTAAAAATCGAACGAAAACTCTCCCTCTTAATATAACAGAAATAGGCTAAATAAAAAGTTATAGGTAAAAAAGTCTTGCAGTACGAATAATTTTTCCCACGCTGAATCTAGTCGTTAAAATGATAAAAAGTAAAGGACTGAAATGGTTGTTAGATTAAAAACACGAGGATAACAGAAATTTCGTTAGGCTTCTTACCCCTGATTTCTCGTCCCGCAAGCGTAGTCCATCGATGCTAACCTGGACGGAGATTCGTTGTTTGTGTTCGCCGGCGGCACGAATCGCCATCTTCAGATCTGCCAAAGCCGCTTGGCACATCCGGTCCCCCCGTGCTTCCGATACCTCCAATATGCCAATCAGCTTTGCCTTGAACGACACACCCTCCCCAAGAAATCGGGTTGGTTCGTTCCTGACTGCAAGCATACCCAATTTTCGTTCCGTCTGTCGTTGTTTCGAAAAATTTCCATCTCACCGTAAGATAAACAAACTTTATACGTAAACTATATATCATCCTTCAAAAGATGACGTTCAACAGCCCTCTTTTTTTTTTATGGTAACGTTCCAAATGTTACAACGTTGAATTTTTAACGTTAATATAAATTGGTATTGGAAAAATAAACATGGACAGTGGTCGTGACTTCATAATCACTGATAAATAATCTGCAAATTTGATTGTTTATAGCAAACCATGGTCGTCTAAAACTCAATATGAAAATGCCAATAATAAACGGCACAGTTGCGAATATGCTGGAAGATTCTAGTAAAACTTTACAAAAACAATTCTTCAGAAGACCCCCACAGCGCTATAGCGATCGAATGGTGGCGGCGACTAATAAAGAAACGTGAAATCTGTCGCGGTAGATACTCGTTTTAATAACCCCGCATGCGGTCTTATTCAAACTCACGCAACGGTAGAACCGTCCGTCGTGGTGGTATTGAATCAACGGAACCGAAACTGCAGGGGGCTAGAACTGATCCGATACCGATCGTTTCAAACCTCTTGAACTAATATATTGGTCGGTCATACGATCAATTTGTCCCCGTGAAACACGTGAAATGAGAATCATCTCAAGCGTTCTCGAGATAAGCAATTTGTTTCGCCCTTCGTCACCGCCACGGAGACGAGTAACGATGCAAATTTAATTTTTCTCTCGAACGGTTCCCATATTCAGGGACTGGGGAAAATTGTAAAAGAAGAAAAAAATAGAGCTTTAATTCGTTGGATATATTTCATTTCTGTGTATCGTCCGATAACGGCGATCACAGGCTTTGTCTTTCCACGGACGATTTGTCGAAATCTCCCTCGGTCTACGGCTTTTCTGCGCACGCTTTTTTACGACCCCTCGCGACTTTAATAGTCACGACCACACCGGCACATTTGTTTGAACGTCCTACTCGTGCGGCTCGAGTGGAGAACGCCAACTGTCGATACTTCAGACTCTATCCGGATAACCAATTCATGCCCTTCCACCTCCCCCCTAGCCCTCTTTCCTCTTTCATGACGGCCACCTTTATACGAGCTTTTTCCTTCGCACACATCTTCCCTGTGCCGCGCGCGTTTCGTGGCACATGCGACTTTCATTCGCCCCCGCTCTGTCACAACAATCACTCTTGCATCGAGCATCGCTAACGTAAGACAATGGGTCAATAAAATATAGCGGCTCGGGGTAAGAAGTACCATTACAGTGCCGTTGTGTAATCCCGCGGAAACGCACGAGTATGTGGGGTGTCTTGTTTCGAAATGAAAATTATCGAATCAGCAAAATTTTTGGATTATGAAAATAATGTTGGACGATCTGAAAGGAAATCGTCGGTAAATTGAAAGAAACACAACACTGGATGGAAAAAAATGACAAGAGCATATTCAAGGTCATTTGAATGTTTTTAAAGGGAAGTCTGTTTAAAAAAATTTTGAAATATTCGTGTATTTAACAATGTTTCTCCGCATATTGTAGCATATTTCGAAGTTATCCTGTTGTAGTTTGCAGTTTTGATTGCATGTAAAGAAAGATACAAATTTGTGGATTGACTTCCCAGTGTATCTAGAATTTAAATGTGGCTCGCGCTGTTTTAAATGTCGACGCGATCAAACGTGTGGAAACAAAAAATTTTAATTTATGTATTTTAACAGAGACTGTAACACTAAACTAGTTTCCTATAAAAAACATCTATTATAATTAATAACAGATTTGAAAAAAAGATTTCAATGAAAAATCCTGAAACGATTATCAGTAGGGAAAAAAGTATGGCCATAAACTCATTGTAATATAGACTGCATACAATTAGAGAGTTGTTAAAATAGTTTACCGGCCAGAACATGACCGTTGAAATGTGTATTCAGATGATGCAGAATAAATCATCACAAATAAAAAATTATGTTATGCGTAAGCAAGAATCATCCCTTCCAAGAAGGATGACGATCGATAACATTCATCGAAGAAGGTAAAATAATGATTATTAAATTTAACTATATTCTTCAATTCAAATAATTATGTTATAACCTCTTGAATGATGACTTCGCAGTAAACAATTTCAAGTTATTGTACAATTAAAATTATTATTCTATAAGAATGTTTCTATTCAATGTTAGTTTTAAAAAAAAACATGATTATTTTGATATGCATTAAATGAATCCTATAAATAAGCGTATTAAGTTAACTGCGCTGTTGTGCAATATACATATATAAATTCAGTAGTACAGTCTGAACTGAAATTTATACCGAATGAAGTGGTTAGTGCATCCATCTGGTGGTGAAACCGCAAAGGTGTGCACACAATAAATTGTATTACCACAGTCGATAATATCAAATTGTAATGAACGCGCGAAAATTCTGGCTTGACACTATTCTTTCCAATAAAAAATCTACCTGCTCTAAGAATTTCTGAACAACAGAATTCATGCATCTATACAGTACATCATACTACCATTGCGTATCACGTTATTCCGCCTGATTCGAATCGAGCGACTGTCGTCTTTCTCCCTCTTAAAGAAGGGAAGCCATATTCCAATGCTCCCTTTGACCGATCTGCAGGGTGATATCACAACGTCATGCATCGAGAACGTTAAAAAAAATGCACGGTACAAGGGCGAAGCCTCCAGTCGCAGCACGTAAACGTTGATTCGAATCACAACGATATCACTAAACCACAAGACAACGTAGACAAAGCACGTTTCGACGTTTCCATGAAAATTGTGCAACTCGTAAGGGGTGGTTTTTACTCACACTTGCACGGACTGTTTTTCTTCCGTAAGGTCTGCATCGATAGTTCCGTGTAGGCGACGAGAGAGTATCGGATACAGGAAAGGAAAATATTACCGATCTTCTCTCTCGGCGCACCCTCGGCCGACGCACTATCGTGGATAGATATTCTCAACACAGGCACATGTCGCTCACACTTGTCTTTCTCCCTTGCTTCTATCTCCGTTGCCCTTGCGCCGTTATCTTTCCCTTTCTCTCCCTCTCTCCCACCCTTTTTCACCCGCGGTCTATCTCGTGCTCCTGGTGTCCAGCCGTTACTCTTCCGTTACTCCCTCTGTCTCCCTCGTTTCGTGTATTTCCACGGAAGTATGGGACCGCTGTGTTTCACGTACAGTCGGTACCGTTTGCCTCGAAAATATGCCCGCACGTTGCCGTAGGTAGTCAAGAGAACACCGAGATCACCGGGACACGGTACGGCGATCGGTTTTTCGTGATACAGACGCACGGTGTGAAAATACGGAGGAAGTAACGGCCGCCCCTGCCGGCACGGGTCATCCATGTTAGCCTCTCTTATTGATCAATAATATACCATCTAGTACGCGGCGTCGTCGCTTCGGGGCCACAGAGAACATTTCCCGCTTCACGCACGGTTTTTCTCTAGCGATTTCCCTTCTCATATTAAAGAGAAATTTTCCTTCTCTAATTTATCGAAGGATGTTGACCAAAACGGAATATCAATCGGTGTGATACTTCTGTTCTTCGACACAGGCTAAACTGTAGCGGAGCGATTACGAACAGTTTCGTGGCATTGCTGTTGTATTGAAATTTGTTCCTGCTTTCATAGATCTTTATTAAAAGATATATATGTATATATCAATGAAGAGAAAGTTAAATAACCATTTATCGTAACGTTATGTATTATAGGTATATCATATTCTTTTCTTACCTTTTTTACATCACAATTCTGTGTGAAACGTAAAGTTTCGTGAGATGCTGGAAAATAACATTATTGCGACGTGTTAAAACATTTACGGACAAAAATGTAGATCTGTGGGTATACTACAATCTGTTATGTGTCGATGTTGCATAAAATCAATGTTATATTGACGTTGAAACAGACGATTACTGGCGATTTCTTTTTTATTATAATTCAGTTACATAGAAGCCTTATAATTACAGGGGTAGGTCATAGATAAAGGACAAATGAGATAAGAACCTACTGTGAATAATATATACCCTTAGCTACACGACTAGATCGGCAGATGGCGCTGTGTCATTGCGCGCGAAAATAGAATTATTTCACTACAGATTGCCTAAGTTTTCGTACAATTTTCAGTTACACTCAAATTCACGGAGAATAATTATTTCTATGTCTGGTATATTATTGCACTATATAATCTTTGTTACTGTTTCTCGATTGATTAGCTGTCGGAAATAGCAATAAAAGGACTACGGGACGATGGCGTCGTTTTGGTATGTGAGACAGACCTTTTTGTTATCACAGAAAATTATGATGAGGCAAGCTTCGTCCCATGCTTCGCATATTTTAGAGCTAGACAGATAGGAATCATCGCTTACGACTGTCGGAATTCAAGCTATGCTTTTTTGCGACGAATACTGTCCTCTAGTTAACAATCTCAACGGTACTAAAAAATCTCCTACTTCGATGTTCTCTTCTTCCTTCAAGTTCAAGATAAATGAACGTACCTGTGATATTATATAGCACGCCATAAATATCGTGTATATCGCATGATTCCGTGATTAGATCAACCATTTAGCACGCACGCAAAAATCTAATAACGCTAAGTCATTAAATACGTAAACCGCCTTACATGTTCGAAATGGTATTTCGAGAAAAATCTGCTCCGTACAGTAGGACAATTTTTATTACTTTTAGGAAACATAATTGCATTAAAATTGTCTTCGGCTTCGAAATAAGTAGTACACAAAATTAACGTGAAATAATATAACAAAATTTGTGTTTAAATTGACCTTAGCAAAGATAGTGAAAATTTTGTATATATATATATATTTTTTATATTATATACATGTCATATCCACATAGGATTCTGCATAAAATCCTCGATGTCAATTTCCATCGTCCCGAAACACGACAATAGTTTTTATATTCAACATTAATGTGTGTTAAAATTCGAACGAGAGAACGGAGAGACCTCTACGCCATTGGCCGCATCGCGGCATTTAACAGTCATATCGAAGTCACGAGTTCTCAGTTCGCGCACAGCCGCCGGAGTAGGACGATGTTGTAGTGTTTGTTCCGCACTCCTTGTGAGACTATATTACGAGAAAAAGTTTGGTCTGAGTGGGATTGATAACATTTACCGGTAGCGAACGTGTCTCGAAAGGCATTCACAAGCTTAGCTACCCGCCAAACAAATGAACGCACACCATGACATCGCGTGAATACCTTATTGTAACGATAACGACAGTACTTGGGATCCTGACAATTAATACGAACGCCAGATCGTGGGGTAAGTAATACGCGATGATACAGTGAACGTTCGTGCGTGACGGGTAAACGCGTGTCAACGTAATCTCAGAATATAATATACCGCCAACGGTGTGTGCACGAGGTTGTATCAATACTACCGCGTTGCGGGTTGGTATAGTAGTACACCTCCGACTCCATTCACGCGGCTTCGTTCGTCACGTACGCCACTTTTCGCAGGCCGCTTTACCGCACAGAAATACGAAACACGAGGAAAAGGTGAATGAAACTGACCTTTTATTCCCGTCGAAACGTACCGTGGGACCATCATGATACATATTCCCGTAATGATAACGTGAAACGATGCTTGTCCTTATACCTGTTTACGTAATGAATGTCAAACTCTGTGTTCGTGCGACCGTATTCTTCTGCGTGCATATATGTATACGTCGTGTCAATGAACATAGTGATGGTTTTGAAGAAAAAAAAAAAACAGTGATCAGTCGTTCGAAAAAGAAGAGAAACCTCGAATCGTTGACCACGCTGTTCCCCCGTAATAGAGTGTGTGGTGTGCCGGCAAGTTTGTATGTAGTGCACACAGAAAGTCTGGCGCACATAGAACTGATAGGAACGCAAATGCATGCTTAGTAGGGCACGTAGCAGGTTGCCTCGTGGCGTGACCTTAAAGATGGTTGGGATCTTTTTCGTCTTTATACACAATATTTCGATAAATTCTCGTTTATACGGTCGAACGAATAAATCTGATTAACTTGTATCCACGTGGCGTTTAAATCGAAATCTGTGATACCGTGCAAGTTGCGAAAGAATGCGTAATACGTACGTAGGAAAAGGAACAAGCACCTTGTTTGTGTGCACCATCTGTGCGTGCACTGTTTAATTATCGGCTCGAAGACGCATGAACATTAGATTACGTAATGTAAGAATAAACGAATTTATAATTGCGTTTAGTGTACACTGAGTACATAAAAGAGTAATGATAAATTTTGTGTAAAGTATATACGAGTATGTTGAGTAAGCTTATTCGGTCAACAGTAAATTTCTAGAAGTTTGGCAAGCTTGACTTCAGTGATGGTTACGATCGAAATTGGTTGCCACGAAATTCGCGGTCTTTTCTAATGGTTCGATCTTCTCTCAATTAATCCGATAGTGCGCACGGTTATTGCGAATAAGCGTAACAGGAACGTTCCACAGTTGATGTTACGGGTGGCATTTTCTTATCTCGCAGGCGATAGAGGGGAAATATAAGTAGTTTTGTAAATAATACCTGAGCTTGCGAAAAGTAATACAGAGAACCCAGCTGGGGAATCGAAACTGAAATAATAAAAAGGTGAAAGACGATGAATCAGCTTTTCGTATAATTTCCCGCTTTTCTCATCAAGTATTCAGTCTCCCTAATTCCATTTAATTTACGTGAATAATGTTCAATGACAAGAATTATTACTTAAATATTTCTCGACCAGTTACCGATTGAACACAACATACCGGTTCGTTCGGAAGTGACGAGGCGATAGGATATTTTTAAATTGAATAGAAAATTATTATGAACTTGAGATAAGCATAAAAGATAAATAAAATGAAAAAATAAATATTACATACAAGGAAGTGGGCCAGATACACATTTACCGGTGGATTTATCGTTTCTTCAAAGATAGAAGCCAGGGGATAGTAATCTTAATTCCCAACGGCTTATTGATATGAAAATGGCAATCGATAGTTATCAGTTAAATATTGTAGATCAACATCGTTTGATAATCAATGATAACAAGGAGTCAGATTGTACAATAATTACACAATGATGTTGCAATATTATGTATTGCAATTGCAGTGTTAAAGCGAATCAAATCTAGAGATGGCAATGGTTATAAATAATATTAAAAAATTCCATATTTTTATAGAAATTAAAATATTATTTAAATCAGTGTACAAAAATAAAGCCGGCTAAATATTATGGTTATAATAATAGAATTTTTAAAGGCTACAGACATTGCAATGTTTTCGGTATTGAAATATATCGTAATTTCGATAAAAAGGGGAAGACGAGTGACAGAAAGATTATTATTTGTGGACAGTTGTCTCCAAATGTACGAAATAATAGCATGCTTGCAAAATATTGTCTGAAAAAGTAACGGATTATTTGCACTTGGACAAGGATACACCAGAGAGATTAATGAATTATAATTGAAATATATGTACTTTCATTATGGTAAATAATAATCAATACAATAATAACGGGATAATTAGTAAGAACAATTACAATGCAGATAAATTCTTTATCATTCCAAAATTAAAATTGACTGTGACAATTTTTTTTTGTTTAATACATGTTTTAATAAGGCAGTAAGCTGAATTTTCCTTTATTTTATTACTTAATTTCTTTACCGATTATACATTAATTAATGCCGAGGCGAACGATATACCAAGCGGGGAAGTCTCCAGCAAAAAATATAAAGCAAGGAAACGGAAATTGTTTTTTCGCGACAAGGTCATTAAGTTCACACGATCTTAACAAACGAGTGCTCCATTAACATAAGTTTTCCTCGTATTATCGGCTACTACATAAACAACGTCTCCTCGTTAGATCATAGAGTCTCGGGCGAACTTCACTGTCAATAGTAGTTACTCAATTAATGCGTAAAGCGTTGCGAAAAACATCAACAACGTGGTCCCCGTAGTAAAATCGTTGCGCATTTACGTTTTCCCGCGGGGGAATACGATCGTGGACGAAAGAATTCGATAATCTTCGACTTTCGGACCGATACGTTGAGACACGATCGTGGTGATAACTTTTAATCCGACGGAATATTTTCGCGACACGTTGGTACTCTCTGGCTAGCCAAGATTACAAAACGGACGTTGTAATAACATATGTATCTTGAATAACAGACACCCCTTCATAACATTGATATGACATTCGGCTCTATAAATGTCTTGTTTCATAAACAAATTGGACAGATGTTTCTATTTCCAACCCCCTAAAACTGATCAATTCTACAGGAATCAAAACTGTAGGATTATTTTACAGTTTTAAAGAACACAATAAATATTATGCAGTAGATTATGTAAAGTATCGATATCTTTTACAACATGTTCCATACGAAAACATAGTTGTGTCTGGATTAGGTCAAAATATTTTCGATACGATTTCTAGAACAGTCTAAAATCGATCAGTTTGGATTACGAATGGTTCAGTTGGCGCGATTCCGATTTGCACGTGTCAAGGTTACTATTGCTTTACATTTAATCGAAAATGTGTGGAATGTCCTTTTTTACGGTGTAATAGACATTAGGTATTGTAGAATTAAAATGAATTGTAGTAGACAGCACTTATTTTCGAGCAACCTAACATGAACGCGAAAATTTTTAATAATATAAAAATTAAACATAAACAAATACAAATGTACACATATGTATGTAGAGTTTTTGATATAAAACATTTTTTAACAATTTCAAATTCGCAATAACGAATAATTCTTTAGTTTATGGTTTTTTTGGTACAACCCTCATGCAGATTGAATTATAGGGATTACTTCGGTTTACCAGTGTGTAAATGAAACTTCTTTAATACAATTAAGCTGAACAATAAGATTAATGGAAAAAATAACACGCTTCAATGAAGGTCAATTGAGATTACAAAAATGGGGTTTGTATTTTCCTATAAGTGTGAAAGATTAAACGAGTCACGGACGCCACCCGTCCTCCATTCATGAGATCGGAACGACTGCCATTAACAAAAGTTATGAAGTCGTTGCGATAACATTTAACCCTTAATTGTCAGTCTTAATTGTTAACAGAATTTTATACGAACACTTGTTCCATCGTCGAGATGGGATATGATTGATTTACGATCGACCGAGCAGTAGCTGATTTAGTACCTATGTGTTCTTTTTACCCCGGGTTACAGTGTGCTCGATTGATAAAATATAACCGAGAAGCTTAATGCCTGCAAGCTTAACTGTATTGCACAATTAAAAAGAAATTAATTTTCCGACTATCGTGAAACTGAGTAGTAGCCCTTTAAAATCTAATCCAGGGCGAACAAAATAAATATTTTTTTTTGTTTATAGTGTTATACGCGAGAAGTTTGTATAATAATATTGAATTATTATTTAAATTTTCTATTAATTAACTAAGTAATATTAATTTTCTTAGTATATTTGCCTAGGTGTACCACGATGTGACGGTGACACCAGTAATTGAATTAGATACAATATAGAACAATCAGGCCACAGAAGCAGATCAATGGCGGCAATGTTACTAACCAATGAATAGACGGCGAATGTTTATGCAATTTCGATCATTCATGTTTGAGTCGAACCTCATTGCTTTTTATTCAGTTACATGTACATATTAATAAATGTACAAAAACCCGATGTCGTTAATCGCAACAGAGTGTAGATAACGAAAAAAAAAACTGTTAATGATTTTTTATTGAGAGAAACAGTCTTTTTTGAATCGAGATATGAAGAAATCATATTCCTCGAAGTCAAAGGATCGTTTCGATTAACGAGAAACTTCGATACACTAATAATATGCATATTACGAGACGCGAAGCGAACACGTCAAAGAATAATTCATTATGTATCGGAAGTTCGCAACGTACTTTGTCTTGTCTTTGATCTCCATTATTCGATGAGAAAAAAAAAGAATTGCGTATAAATTCATAGATTAGGATAAACGTAATCACAGTGTTTTCATGTTCGATGTCGCTTGGACCGCGCTGTATCAAATCAGATATACTTTTAATACATCAAACATGAATGCCTTGATCAGTGCATATCAAAGTAATAATCACATCTTGACATCATGATTTGATAATTATAAACAATAACAATTCCACTCCATTTTTCTTTGAAGAAATGGCCGTGTGTATTTACTGAGAAATCATTGAACGTAATTGAATTAACTATTGTAATTCAACAATTTTTCATCTTTATATAATAATTTTTAAATAAAATAATCGTGGTTGTAATTTGTCATTATTATAATACTGATAATAAAAAATATTTAATTGTAATTAATCATTTTATTTAGCCTTCTGATGTTCAGTAGTACAACGAATGCAGCTCGAATTTTATCGAGTCCCTCTTACTTATTTTCCTTTTTTGTTTTTGCAGATTTAGCGGTAGTGATCGGACGCGAAGTCGAATTTTTCGCGCGAAATCAGACACTGATTGGACAGGCCCAAATTGCGGAAGCCGAATCTTTGGCTGGAGTAGCGTACGATGACGTTACACGCACGATGTTCTTTTCCGACACACTTAGTAACTTTTCCGTATTCAGTAACGACCTGACGGAGAAGAATTTCACCTCGAAGCCACTACTTAAGAGTAAGTAGACGAGCTGAGAATAGTTCTCCAATTTCTACTACTGTTGCTGAACAAAATAATACTGTAGAGTATAACGATCATAAATGTGCAGATCAAAACTCATAGAATATACAAATAATTGATAACATTTTTAATAATTGACAGTTATAAACGTTTTTAACTACGTCTTGACCAGCTGACTGTCTTGCAAGTGGACCCGCAAAAAGAGAACTTTTCTTGCTATTTTTTCGTTGCTTACAAAAATTTGAGTTCTGAGAATTATAATTGTTATCTGGATGATCAAAGAGGTTTCCGTTTTTCAAGTGTTTGTTGAAATTCGTAATAGAAAGGCAACTCATAAGAAATTGTAACACTGTACTGGAATCTGAACTAGAATCTTGAGTTAACTGTAATTTTTCCCGAAAGATAGAATCGGTAAAGTGATAAATATCTGAAGAAAACAATACGATTCAAATCCTTGGATTATCGCCAACAAAGATCTACATAGACATTTACATAATATTCTATTAAAGAAAGGAATGTATTTCTTTTGTTCCTTTACAATCTCAGGTAACCGTTCTCTGCAAACCATGTAAACTCATACCTTTTAGATCTTCAGATACCATAGGTCTGCGAGAAAATTATTAACATTTTATGCGAGTCTCACAGAACGAAATTCAATATTTCACTGGTATTGTTGTAACTTGATTCTGCTAATTTTTGTTTTAAAACGTTTTTCTTGCATTTGGGTCATTCCACGCGAGAACGGACACATTTTGGATTTTGTTGTAACTTGGATATGTTATATTCTGTGGTGGTATGTGAACGTATCTCGGAGGATTTTCGAAAATGTTTAAAATTGTTAATTTCACAGCTGTTGGAAATATGTGTCGAAACAATTTTAAAGTCAATTTTAAATTTTTCAAAATGTGTCCATAAAGAGGATTAATAGAATTACGAGATACGTTTATATACAAAATGTTACTCCAAAAAGCGTCCGATTTCACGTGTAGAATGACCTATTCACGAAAAAAATTGTCATAGTATTGTGTGTTCGAATAACAGAAGACGAAAATCGTCCCAACACTACATAAAAATCTCTCTCTATAAATCATCGTTTGTTGATCCCCAGGACAAAAGCGTAATCATATCATAGGGATCGCCTTCGACGCGAAGACGCGAACCCTCTTCTGGAGCGACGCTTTGAAAGAAGTGATAATGAGAATGCATGTGCCATTGGACGGGCCACCGGAAGAGCCCATCCTCCTCCACAATTTAACGCGAAGAAGTCCGCGTGGTATCGCTCTGGACCTATGTAACAGGTGTGCCATTTATGTCTCTATGTAGATTCTCTTTCTCTTTCTCGACCAGGCCCCCATTAATTCCATTCTATAAAATATTTGTGTGCTTCGAAAAATCGTGTCGGGGCGCCAAAAGTCATTCGAAGGAAACCTTTTCTTCTAATGCGTGAAAAACAAAATTTCAAAACCGGAAATCTACGAATATCTGATGATTGTACCTTGTTTCCAGTCACATATACTGGGTAAATAGTATAAATACGAATCCGAGCGTACAACGCTCGAACCTAGACGGGACCGAGCGAATTACCGTCATTAGCGAAAATTTGTACGAGCCGCTGGCCGTGGCTATAGATCACGTCGAGGAGAAGCTCTATTGGATCGACGACGTCGAGGGTATACGGAGCAAGATCGAGCGAAGCAATCTCGACGGTACCGAACGGGAGCTGTTTCTTCACAATAAGCATCAGCTACCGGTGTACCTGACCGTGGACCGTGACGCGATATACTGGTCCGATTGGTCCCATCGTACGATCTGGACGGTACCGAAAAATGCCAGTGCTGGCGATCCGCCGATAGAGTTCAGGTCCTATCGCACGTTGGACCAGGAGGCCGATCCGAACGGGATCGTGGCGCGCGATAACACAGGGGGGATCGATTGCGCGGCGATCGCAAGAAAACGACAGATGACGAATTACGCGAACGCGACGTACACGCAGAGAATCGTCGAGTCGTTCAACAATTTAACGACGAGCACGGAGGAATCGGAATCGATCACCCAAAGCTCCAGATACTGTCTCGATCATGGACGCTTGGACGAGAATCATGGCACATGCCGGTGCAAGCTGGGGTGAGTTTCAAGCAGAGTTTTTGAGTGAACTTCCGAAAACTACCCACACCCAATGACCCTGACCTTGACATACGTTGTCAAGGTCACCCTCTCGAGTAATCTTCAAAAGGTTTGAACCACCGATCATTGGTTATTAGAAAGTTATTGGCACATTTGTAACCGGTAACGTAGTCCTACGTCAATTTAAAATATGTTTAAAGACATCAGTTTTTCAACTGCGGACATAGTTCTTCAATTCATTGCAATTTTGCCTTTTCCCTGAATGTTTGCAGTTTCCTACGTTGAAAGTAGCTAACATTGATTAAGATGGGCTGGGTATGGTATTTTTTTGGGATTCTCTATTGCTGAAGCTGTGATATATGATACGAACGGAATTCTCAGGCAAAGTCTGGTGAAACAGCAAAGTTGCGAAAATGTGACCGTGTTATACATCAAGTATAAGTTGAGAACATCTCATAAGTGAACCCCTTTATATTTTGTTTAAAATATTCCAAAATGTATGGAGATTTACATAAGAGTATCCGTGTTGCATTTTCGTTATTGAATCCATAAGAAAGATTGATCGAGTAACACAAACCACACCCTTATGTAAATGGGAAATTGAAATATTTCAGGTTCGCTGGTAAACATTGCGAGATAAACCTCTGCCACAATTACTGCCTTGGGGGTACTTGCAGTATAAATAGTCGTGGATCACCCATGTGTAAATGCAGTAGTACGTTTGTTGGACCAAGATGTGAAACGGACTTGTGCAAAGACTACTGCTTGCACGATGGTCAGTGTTCCGTCCAGAATGAACGGCCAGTTTGCAGCTGTAAATATTCAGAAGGTGTTCGTTGCGAAGATTTGAGTAACACGTCTAAAATGTGCGAGATCTTTTGTGCAAGAACTGACCCAGTTCCTATAAGCCTCAGGGTAATTAATTGCAGGTATACTTTTGCGTTTAATCTGTTTATGCAACAAACTGATTTGAAAGAAAATATAGATTATGATGAATGTCTATTACTCTTTGCGAGCAGGTGTGGCGAAACGAATAAAACAAGTGCACAATTGGTCATGATTACTGAAAACGAGGAGTACAAAATATTATTACCACTTTTTGGTGTATCCACTGCCGTACTTATAATTATAATAATTGCACTTATGTACTATGTGGGTAAATTACGAAGACGACCACGCATTCGAAAACGTTTCGTGGTCAGCAAGGGTGGTGTAACGCCACTCACTGCTAGGCCACAGTTACCGGACAATCAGTGCGAAATAACCATTGAGAACTGCTGCAACATGAATATCTGTGAAACTGTGAGTGAACAATCACCTAAAGCATAAAAATCATTTGCGTGCATGTAATGCGCATACGATATGTTCCCGATGTGTGCAATAAGTAAAAAATTTCAAGTGTATCTTGCAGCTGTTTGGGTGATAGACTTGTTGAGAAAGAATCCGTCGACAGTTTGAATAACTTACTTCGCTAAAAGAAAAAAAATAAGCAAATTTTAGTTATTGGGTTCAATACTGATCCAGTAACTCAAATGGCCGATTCTTTCTCTGTATATGTATAAAGAATCTCATTTAGTCAACGCTCATATATTCGGTATATTATGAGAATTAACAAAAAAAATTTTATCATTACCATGTATCTATTTTTTTAGATAGGCACATTGTTCACGTGATTATATTTGAGTAATTTATTAAGTATTATATTTGAGATACCGACATAATATTTAATACAAAAATTATAATTAAGACCATCGCATACTACTCATTAATTATTTACTAACCTTCACAGTATGTCCTTGAAAATTTATTGCTTACTTGTGTTACCTACTGCTTACTCCATAATTATCAGCTTGTTATGCGTTCATGCATGCATTCACGATATGTCATTAGTGTGAGTATTCTGAAAAGTGTACAATATGTTCCACCATCTGCACACTCGATTTTTCCTGGATTAAGTATGTTGTATCTAGACTTCGTGCAATTGAGACCAATCTTATTAAATTACACTATTATATATAAAAACTATTATTTCTCTCCATTATACAATACACACTTGTACCATTAATTTTTTTTTACACTAATTACGTAAATTGTTTTTTACTCCAATTAAAACAGCTTAACTAATATTAATTGCTAAACAGAATTAGTGAGATTTCTCCAAACATAGAGAATTTATTGTAATTTACTGGATCATGCTTTGTGTCGCTAAAAAATCGGCAATTAAATTTATTCGAATAACTATTATTCGAAATTTTCTCTTTTTACAGCCATGTTTCGAACCAAACTTACATACTCCGGTGTCGGCGAGTAATGGTAATAAGAAAGAAGAGAAGAATTCTTTGCTCGATAATATGGAGGGAAATTCATGGTAGCATAAACTAATACTTCGACGTGTTAATCGGCGAAGATTTTGCGGACATCGCGCAAAGTTCGTGGAAACTTTGGCCTCTGAGAAAAACACGTTTGTACATAACACAGCATACCGTAGTATTGTTAAATTTAGTGATCATTTTTGCAAAAAGTGCGAAAACATCATAACGGTGATACAGTCAACAAATGAAAGCCAAAGGTCTTCGTGAAGACTCTCAATAACGTCATACGATATGTAGGGCTGTGTTTATATAAAAATTACTTCAAATAGCTATTCGAAAGAAATGAATCTTTTTTTTTAAATATATCATTATTATATTTTTCATAGAAGAACAAGAAATGTTAATGTCCACTGCATTTTTATCGGGGTGGATAAATAACATGTGTGTACCCAAACATACTTTTCTTATTTTCTAACTGTTTCAATTGTTCTTTGTTCCTTATAAATGTTTTGAGAGGAACAAAACTCGTTTAAAGTTAAACAGAACCAAAAATAATGGCAACTAATCGCAATTTAAGGGTACATAAAAGCTGCCTTAATTGCTAGACTTGTAACATTTGCTCAACGTACTATTGAGTACATTCCTAAAAAGTTATAGATCACAAGATTGTAACGAACATTATTATGTTTGTACAAAAATAGAACGTTTTCAGTCAAGATTCGCCGAGCTTAATATTCACGTGGTAAATATGTAATCATTACGTTTGCCACCTAAACCCTTTATCACTTTTCTTATTTCACTGAATACAATTGCATTTGTTCTTGTACTTTATCATGCAATAGACAGAAGTTTTATAATGAACAAAATTTTATGTACCTATAAAATCTGTTTACTGAAGCAAAGAAATCATGCGATAACTTTGGAGAAAATTATCATAAACATCATGGGTACTTCAGGGTCTTGAAAATGTTTGGGCAGACTTGAAAAATTAGTCTTCATACTTAACTAATATAAGTAAATATTGTTTACAAAATAACTGCAGCTATTTGTATAAATCTTGTATAGCGTTATTTTATATATTCGTGCCGGAGTTGTAGCAACAGTACAGCTCTTAAATATAGAATTCATTACGAGTCGTGAAACCCCCACCATACACGTAAATTATAAACTTCTGACCATCAGATATTTACAATTCGAAAATACCAATGTCATTAACGTACATTACGAAGACTAACACATCTAGAAAGTACAATATATATAGGATGAAATTTGTTACAGACTGGAGGATTCCTCGTAATCTCTTAATTTTCTGTGTAGAGTACAAATAACTATACATTTAAGCGGTAATAGCTTCTATAGAACGTAATAGTTGAATTTTATTTTAAAACAGTCATGTTACATTCTGTTGCATCACTGCTTCCAATACTTAATGTGTCAAACTGTACTTTCTACTGCTCTCTTTATGTATAAACTAGATAATTGTTCACTGCTGACAAGTGGCTGCCTTAACAACATCCAGCTACTTAAAACGTAAACCTAACTTTGTACCAAAGTCACGTGTAACCTTAGCCTTAGTGTAATTACTTTTAGTTTAAAACATTTATTTCAGATAGATTTTATGGAATAAATTTATACGACGTCATACATTAATAATAAAAACGCCTTTCCTGCGCCGAATGGAATATAGAGGCAGTAAATAATTGGGAGTAGAAAATAAGTGTAGCTTAATATGGTGCAATGGCGTGATGCAGCTGCATGCTGACATATACTTAATCTTGGATAGAAGATACCATATTCTTTTTCACTGTACAAACAATTCATTATTTCATGAAAAACAGTGATGAACTGACGACTAAATTTCATTGTCTTTCGTTATTAATACGTTAATATGCAGAAATAACGTTCCTGTTGTATAAAAGGCAAAGCAAGTTAAGTACATGACGATTTATTTTGTTCCTGTGTATGAAGAAAGTTATTTTAAAACCTTTATCGATATATGCGACATTGCGATCTTTGCTTTTAGACCTTAGTACAGTTATATATAAGATGTTTGTATGATTCGTTAAATTTCGTGATATGTCCGAATAGAATGATACAAGTGATACACGTTGAATATTATATCTGGAATGTAAGCATTTTGCGAACACTCATCCCCAGAGGCGGGATAGTGGCTTTATAGTGAAATATTTATATTCCCTGATGGCAAGCAAATGGTAGATAGTTTGCAAACAACAGAATACTGACAAACGTACTTCGTTATTTTTCTTGTGTTTGTACTTAATATAAAGTTAATAATTACATGAAACTTAAATTATTTTATTGTCCCAATAATGCGTACTTTATAAATGTACCAAAAACATTAAAATTTGAAATATTTTAGATTATAATTATGTAACACCTAAATGATCTTCAATTTCAAAATGAGAATGCACTTTATCGGTGCACCAAAAGTACTGAACATTTTAAATATTTTTGTTGTATCATTCTATTATAATCAGGAAGTTAGATATTATTGTATACAGATGAAAATAAAATTAAATTACTTAAGAACCTGTTTTCTTTTTATATACATTTATTGCCAACATACATTATTTAAATTGTTATATGTTCAGTAGTATCATTTCTTGGCTCTAGTAAAGTAGAAAAGTTCTTTCATATTAAATAGAGTTTCCGGGAATTAAACACAATGTGCATTATCTATAATGAAATTATTATAACAATTACATGCAAAAAGATGAAAATAAGAAAAAAGAGTGTAATCTAACTTACAAATAATTCATCACTATTCTGCATTTTATTGAGTCTCGGATAGAACTATTTTTTCACCAGGTTTGAATGCAGGCATACCAAGATATGGGCAACTGGCACATCTAAACGCATCACCAAGGTAGCACTATAAAATACATAAAATTTTAATGCAATTTTTCATATAATTGTTCCTGTATAAAGTAATCGAGTTATAGATTGCCTACATTTCCACAAGAAGATTTCACAGTTTTATCTTCCACTACTTTTCCACTTAGTTCCTCAGCTAATCCACAACTACAATCCTTGCATGCTTTTCTTTTACCTGTTGTACTGCAAACTGAAACAGAATTATAGAAAATTAGTATTCATAGATATAAATTTTAAGTATAATATAATATACCTCTTAAACTGGAGGCTTGAGGTTTCAATACATCAGTTTCATCTAAAAGATCATCTTCGTCAATTAAATCTTCATCGACAGCACTGTCCAATTTCCATACATTCGAACTTGCTTGTCCAAAATTAAGTGTTACACTAGAACCAATCTATATGAATTTGAAGCATGTCAGATAGTGCATTTAATTATAATGGTTATCAAGCAAGTAATCAAAACAACTTACTTCAAATGAGGGTTTTTCAGCTACAATTTCAGAAATATTGTTCAAATCTTTGTATACACAAAGTAAAAGATTCTTCAATTGAATATCTAAATCTGCAGGTGATTTTACTTTAAAACCAGCTAATTTTAAATTTGATACTCTTTTGTCATACAAAGACTGCGCATCTTTTTTCTGCTCGAAAGATTCATAAATAATTAATATACCAGCTGGTTTTATTGCTTTGAGAGAATCTTCTAAGAATGTTTTAGAATTCGGACATGAATGCTTAAAAACGGAAATAATCGTGTCGTAGGAAGACGAATTGCTAAGACCTAGAATAATAATTTCATACTCTACAAATAGTAACAATAATTTACAGTATAAACCGAATATTTTTAAGGTACTAAATTAATAAATTACAGGTAGACTTTCTAGAAAGTGGTAGATTTTGTAGAATATTGCGAAAGACGTAAAAATATACACTCACGTATCTATCTAAATACAGTATATTTCAAGTACTTACGTGTTTCCAATTCATTTGTTGGTACAATTGTGAATTGTTCGACATTACCGAGAGGTTTTTTTACTGCTTTTACAAAATCCGCAACGTCGTTGCTTGAAATGTCACTATCGAGAACTACGAGAACACTACTGTTTTCCTCGAGAAATGTCATTTTAATGGAAGCCAATGAATTACGATTTAAAACAAATCAAAAACAAGAGAACTGAATGTCTGTTCGATCAAGTGTCAGCTGAGAACGTGTGAACTAACAAATGATAGATTTATAACTTGCGTCGTAGTTGTGTGCACGATCGTTGCACTATCTGTGCAGAAATTTATTAATTACTTTGCACATTTAACGTGCTACCCCGACGATAAAAACGAAAGTCGATCCCACTTCAGATATGTATGTACACCGACTATGTAGGTATAGGCCCAGGCAAGATATATGAATAGACTTAACATGTACTGTAATTTACTGTCCCATGCTTCGAGGACGACAGAAGCCCCCTTACCATTTAAGTTTAAAGAACGTAGAATAATACTCTCTAACGGCTGGGAACTAGTAATTACAAGAACATTGTTAAAATCTCAATTGTTTTCAACGGTTGACACTCTATCTCGCGATGCGTGCCCCGTTTAGTTCACTTTAAATAGCTCTTCCAACGTTCTATGGACAAGTTACGTCTTGATCAAGCATTCAGTTTGAAGCTGAAAGAACGTAGATTAATCTCCTGTCATTGAAACTAACAATAAACGACCAGAACACTGTTAAAATTGCATTTAATCGCAGATACCACTATTTTTTTCGACTGGTGGCGCCACCCGTGGCGAATCGCTGAAACTGCTAGCCATATAATTGGTACGATTTTAACAGTGTTCTGGTCGTTTATTGTTATTTTCAATGACAGGAGATTAATCTACGTACTTTCAGCTACAAATTGAGTGTTTGGGCAAGACGAATCAGCCGTTATAGGGTACTAATCTACATTCTTTAAACTTCGAATGTAATGCGTGACGAACAAAAGTGTTGCCTGTTTATTGGTTATGTAATTAAAACAGTTTTCGATCGGATTTACACTGCTAAACGAGCATCAGTTTTCCTCGTCATGGATTACATTCGAAGTTTAAAGAACGCAGATCAGTACTCTCTGGCAGGTGGGAACCAGTAATTACAAGAACATTGTTAACATCGCATTTGTTTGCAACGGTTGACACTGTATCTCGTCATGCGTACCCCGGTTAGTTCACTTTGGACAGCTCTTACACCGTTATACGGGCAGCTTTCGTTTCGCTGAAGCACTCAATTTGTAGCTGAAAGTACGTAGATTAATCCATTATTATTGATAATAACAATAAACGACCAGAACACTGTTAAAATCGCATTTAATCGCAGAGTACCACTATTTTTGGACCGGTGGCGCCATCCGTGGCGAATCGCTGAAACTACTAGCCAATTATATGGCTAGCAGTTTCAGCGATTCGCCACGGGTGGCGCCACTGTTCAAAAAAATAGTGGTATTCCGCGATTAAATGCAATTTTAACAGTGTTATGGTCGTTTATTGTTATTTTCAATGACAGGGGATCAATCTACGTTCTTTAAGCTTGAAACTGAATGGTTGATCACGACGTAACCTGTCCATATAACGTTGGAAGAGCTATTCAAAGTGAACTAAACGGGGTACGCATGGCGACATACACTGTCAACCGTTGCAAACAAATGCGATTTTAACAATGTTCTTGCGATTACTGGTTTCCAGCAGTTAGAGAATAGTAATCTACGTTATTTAAACGGTGTATCTAATGAAAACGAAGAAGAACCAAGCCCGCTTAGCGGTGTAAATGCGTTCGAAATCTTTTGCAATTAGGGCTGCCGCCTCATAAGGGGCTACGGTGTTACAGACATAACTAATTTTACTAATTCAGGGGTTCTGCTCTATTGGGTCCACGCATTAAGTCCTGCGGGACAATTTGAGACTAATGACGTTCATTTTAAGTGCTTAATTACTGAGATATTTGTATTTTTCCATCACCCGAAATTTTCACTCACCTGTCGATATAATTTGGCTAGCAGTTTCAGCGAATTGCCACGGGTGGCGCCACAGGTCGAAAAAATAGTGGTACTCCACGATTAAATGCGATTTTAACAGTGTTCTGGTCGTTTATTGCTATTATCAATAGCAGCCGATTAATTTACGTACTTTCAGCTACAAATTGAGTGCTTTATCTAAACGAAAGCTATCCGTTTAACGGTGTAAGAGCTGTCGAAAGTTAACTGAACGGGGTACACATGACGAGTTACAGTGTCAACCGTTGCAATAAATGCGATTTTAACAGTGTTCTGGTCGTTTATTGTTATTACCAATGACAGGGAATTAATCGACATTCTTTAAGCTACACGTCGAATGCTTTGTCAAGACGAATACCGTCTTCAAAGCTTCATAAAGCTTTCATAAGTTTGTCGCCGAAATTTTGATTACCGGTGGCATAGATAGACGTGGAAACGTCACTGACCGTGTGTGGTGAGGAAGTGGTGTCACAGAACCCCCACAGGTGGCGCCAGAGACCCCGTGGGGTGAGAAAGTGGGGTCACAGAACCCCCAGTGGAGGCGCCAGGGACCCCGTGTGGCGAAGAAGTGAGGTCATAAAACCCCGGAGCATACGCAAGAGTTTTGAAACGTGATCCTTTATCGCTGTTGTTCGTAGTACTGTCGAAATCTGACTGACACTTGTGCGTGCTTCCGTGAGCAAATTATATAGTAATTCCAGCAACCATGGCAGTTTCTGCAGATACTACTACAGCCAAAGTTTAAAAGACATAGGCAGTAGTTAGTTTCTGTAGAAACCTGTTGAACCAGACAACTATTATTAGTACAAGATTGTACACTGTTTATGCAGTTATATTTAAGACAATTCGATGAAATGAAGCTTATATTACCTGACGCATGTTTATTGGAATACACATATGTATACATATAAATTATAATGATATAAAAGTTTGAAATACAATACGATGCGCTACGCTATAATACGTTTATTCGATTCAATTGCTCCCTTGCGACTACAAGATCATGCTATCCGCGTTCGGCGTAGTGCGCTAATACGGAGGTCAACGATATATCACTGTAACACTTAAAAAAGTTTTAAAGTTCCATTTATATCATTGTCCTGTGGAAATACTCATACTTCCAGCAGCATTCATATTCCAATCAATGAATTTACAGAATAAGGAAAAGGAATCTAAAGTAATTTTCAGTAGTTCCATACATCTTTATCTCGAATCATTTTCTAAAACATTCAAAGTACTAGACATGTTTATACTTTGAATCTCGTATCGATTTCTAAAATAATCCTAGTTCGATGTAATATAGAACGTGGTTTCATGAGATAGATTCGAAGTTCGCAGCCATTAGCTCGATATTGTCTTCAGTTTACAGTACTTCACCGATGACAATATCGATTGCCCAGGCCTCACCACGAGGAGGTTGCTGCGAGTGGAGGCCCAAGGCAAGTAGATGGAATCACAAGTTCTACATCTACCCACCTTTCACAATAAACCTTATAAATTACTTAAATCTTAACTATATAATACTACCGATACTAAAATCCCTCGGCGGATGACTTCTTTCTTGAGCCTAAACCTATAAAAAACTAAGTTCCCTCGTCGGTTGTCTTCGTTCTTCAGCTTAGAACTAATATTAT